CTGAGGAAATGAGAAGCTCTTGTCATAGGAGTCAGGGCAAACTGCAAGCACCTTTCTCAGGGACTGATATTCAATTTTAAATCATCTTGATCCTTGAGCTTGAGTTGAGGTGATCCCAGATTGCTAGTTTCTCTGACTGCTTGACAGAAGCAAAGGTAAATCCTCTCTGGAGAAAGATAGTCTCATCCTGTGCTTCAGATAACTTTTATAAACTTTCATCTGGGATCATTTTCTTTAAACCTGAAGGGCATCCTTTGGTATTTCTGTAGTATGAATCTGCTGATGACAAAGTCTTTCAGTTTTTGCTTAATTGAAAGTAACTTCATTTCACCTTCATTCCTGAAGCATGTTTTTCCCCTGGAATAGAATTCTAGGCTGCTAGTAATTTTCTTTCAGTGTCTTAAAGATGTAATTCCATTGTCTTTTGGTTTCCATTGTTTACACTGTGTCATCACCAATTCTTAAATTTCAGATGTCTTGAACTCCAAACTCCATCCCATTAGTCTAAGTAAGTCAATAATAAATGGATTAGACAGACTTCTACAATAGGTCTCCATTCAATGTCTGCACTTCCTCCGCATCCACTCACCCATCAGTCCACTGCAGTGTGCTTCTATCCCCAATGTTCTTCTGGAATTATTTTCATTAAGAACAATGGCATCTTTGTTGCTCATTCATAGGACACACAATAATATTATTTTATTGTTTCCTCAGAAGTATTGCCCACAGTCAATGACATTTTCCTTTACACTAGATTCTCCTACAAGCACACTCTCTTGGTTTTCCTCATCTGTCTGAGCATTCCTTCTTCGTCACATTTTCAATCTCCTCTTCCCCGTGTAGCCTATACTTTGACCACGTTGACAAGTCCTTTGGTTCCTCAATGCCACATAATCTTCTGGCTCTTCATGCTAGTGTCTCCTTGCCTAAAATAGCCACTCCTTCTATCCTGGCTACTTCTTTGTCAAGCTAAGTTATATTCATCTTGGTTCTCAATTTAAATGCCATTTCCTCTGGAAAATAATTTCCTATACTCTCAACTCTAAGTTAGGAGCTCCCATTTTTCGCTATCAACAACATAGTTGTAACAGTTATATTTCACCATCAGTAATTTATTTAATTATATTATTTTTTGCTAGGATTATCAGCTCTGGGAGGATAGGGACATCTTTTTGTTCGCTATTGAGTCTCCAAGGTCTAGCACATTGTCTAGCCTCCACTAGGCACTTAATAAATATTTATAGAGTGAATAAATCTGACCTATTCTCTCCTCTACATGCACCATGCCAGTCCCCCTATTCAGCTTCCATTACTGAATTTCTGCAAATGTATCTCCATATCTCTCTCCTGTCTCACTTATATCTTAACCTATACACTGCTTTCAGATTAATGCATTCTATTTGGCCTCTAAATATTATTATTCCCCCTCCCTTTCCACCAAGCACATATTCCTGGGTAATCTCATTCAATAACCATACATAAATTTACTAATGCACCTCCAAATATATACATACATGTGTACACGTATGTATATCTATACACACACCTTCAAATACAATATGCTGTAGCTACATACTTATTAAATATTGAGACTCACAGCCTTAAAAATAACATGTATGCATGTAGAAATATGGATGGTAATGAGTTAAATTGTGGGCAACATGACATAGTTACATACGTGTAGCATAAATGTGCATTGGTTATATTTGCAACATTTGTTACATAAACTGGTCTGTTATTTTAACATAATGACCACAACGTAACTCAGCATCTTCCAGATTTCTAAGTGCCTGCCTGTTATCTTCGATCTTATGAGTCTCAACTTCCTCATCATTAGAACTTGGGTAATGATACTACTTCCCATTTTAATTATGAAATATTTTAGTCCCTTTCTTTGCTCTTAATTTAAATATTCCACAGACAGATCTTGGTCTTACTGTCAAATACGTAACTCATTAATTTGACCACAACACCAAATTTTCCCCCTGTTTCTCATAAATTGTTTTTTACAAATTGTCATAGACTGAATTGTATTCCCCCCAAATTCATATGTTGATGCCCTAACTCCCATTGTGACTGTATTTGGAGACAGGGCCTTTAAAGAGGCAATTAATGTTAAATGGGGTCATAAGGGTGGGGACCTAATCTAATAGGACTGGTGCAGGGATGCACGTGCACAGAGGGAAGGCCATGTGAGGACACACTGAGAAGCCAGCCATCTGCAAGCCAAGGAGAGAGGCCTCAAGAGAAACTAATTCTGCTGGCACCTTGAGGTTGTACTTCCAGACTCCAGAACTCTGAAGAAATACATTTCTGTTGTTCAAGCCACCCAGTCTATGGTATTCTGTTACGGCAGCCCAAGTAGACTAATACAATCACCTTCCATGTCACCAAACCAATCTCAAATCAGTCTGGACAGGTCCTTCTCCCTTAACTCTTATAACCAGATTCAAGCAAGATTCTTATCAATATCTTCCTTCTAAATATGGCTCAGTTTTGCATTTTTGTCTTTATCCTTCCCCACTTTACCTACCTAGGTCCAAGTTTCTTTATCTATCCATTTCTCCCAACTTTTCTCTTTTGTCTCCAGTCTTGATACCCTTTATTCTGAACTCAACCTGATACCTAAATCATCTTCCTACAAGGCAAAGGTGAGTGATTCACTTCCCTCTCATAAGCCTCTAATCTCCATGAGCTACACAAGACAAAGGACAAACGCCTTATTTTGGCATATGTTGTCCTTTGGAATTGGGCCCAACTGAATTGTCCAGTCTTTTCTCCATTAATGTTTCTCCAGGTTCCAGCCACATAAAAAAGGCCATAGCTTAGCCAGTCTTTCTGTCTTGGACGAAAACATTTGCTTATTTCACTCTCGACTCAGTGAATCCTTTCCAACATACCTGGACAGAATAAGCTCCTCCCTTACTGTGTTATCATCACCGTTTTCTCTTTTACACATAACCTTATTACACGTTCATAAAATACAGTGAGTACGTTTACATGGCTATCTCACTAAACTATGAATCTTCTGAGAATAAGAATTGCATGTATTTCATATTCATATTATGCATACTTAACATTGGGCCCTACCACAGTATTTGACAGACAAGAGTTTCATAAATGAATGGATAAAATAATAAATTAATGGTATTGAAGCACAAGTCAAATTTCCAGCTTATAAGTCTTTAAAAAAATTCTGTTGTCATGGAATAAAGTTTGGACTTCTCATTCAAGTATTCAAGATACTTTGTTCTAGACAAAACCAATGTTTTTCCACCTTCATGCCTCTATTTACAGCCTTCCCACATTTAGTCCCAAATCAAATATTACCTCCCACAAGCTAGAAATAACATCATTTAATTTTGCCTTCTTAATAGAATGGCTTTCTGTCTAATAATATTTATTAGTGTACTCTATCATTTATTTTAGACTTTAAGATTTTTAAAGTAAAAATCCATATTTGATTCATCTTCAAAGATTTAATGCCTAGTCCTGTTCATATCGTAGACACTTTGTAAAAACATTGTGACATCCACTTTGTGAGTATTTGTTGAGTATCAGTTATTTTCCAATATTTTGTTCATGAGTCTTATCATAAAAAGGAAAGTTCTGTGGATACATTCACATTATGTATATTTAATTATTTATAAATGAAAACATGTACTAATATACTAATATATTATGTGGATCATAATACTTTCATAACAATTAAAAACCTAAAAAACTGTATAAATGGAAGTTCTTTGATTTTTTTCCTGCAACTCAAAGAATCTGCTATGTACTTTTGGTGGGGGAAGGCCTTCTTTGGAGACCACTAAGACGTAATTATTTTCATTAAATTATAACACAAGAATTACTAATAACCTGTACTGGTACTGCTTTGGTCATCTAGGGTTGTTGAGAAATGAGCATTTAGCATAGATTATTTCCTATGTAATGGAAGTTTAACCCCTTATAGGCAGGAAAAGAATCTGGCCAGCTGTCAAGTTGTTCACTGAATGTCATCGCATGTCAAACACTGTGACATACCCTTTGTGCCCATAATCTCATTTAATCCTAAAAACAATCCTATGAAGTACATATTTTTATGCCTATCTTACAGATAAGAACACAGATTTTCAGAAGATTAAAATGTTCACGATAGTCACAGACTAGACCCTGGATTTGAGTCCACGTTTGTCGAAGCATAAGCCTATATATAGCCTTCCCTAATACACCCAGTTACAGCAACATGTTTAAAAATTTTAACGTGTTTTTTGATATACAAATTCATTTTAAAATAATCAAGCATTTCCCTTTTTTTTTTTCAAACTCATGGACTGAACCTCTCTCAATATCGTCCTTACCCTGGTCCTCTGGCCCGCGCTGTGACAGTCCACACAGGCATGGAGGTTGAGGAAAGAGAGGAGTCATAGCTCACAGACACTGACCCCAGCAGTATAAGAGTATCCTGAAACCCTTTCACTGGTGAAAGTTCATGTTGTCAATTCACTTTCACATCATCTGCCCCATTGTCTTATAGGTAAAATAAAGCATGTGCAGATGCAACACTTCCTTTCCACAAAATTAATTTCTGAATCAAAAATTAAAGCAGGAAAAAAGAGGATAATTTTACCTTCTTGAAAATTATATTGCTGTAATTTTTTTATCAATGTCTATTGAGTCTTAAGCATCAGTTAAAACGGGTTATGTTATTTTTGCCTATGTAAACTAATAAAAATAGTCATCCCCTTTTTAGTTTTCACTCCCTCTTCTAGGCTACTTACTCCAGATATCATGATGGCACACTTTACCATGGTCACAAAAATGTAGTGCAATATCTTAAAGAACTTTATCATTAGAACATAATACCTCAGAAAATGTAATATTAAGTTGAAATTTTCTTTAAATTATTCTTAAAGACCTACTTTTTAGCAAAATTTTAGGCAGAAGTAGCATTAAATTTAAATGCAGATCTTTAGAACTGCAATGATATTTAAAAGTCTAGTAAAAATTTTTCAAGAAATATGTTCTGAAAATATGCTAGAATAAGAAAGAAAGAAATATAAATAAATATAATCTCACATTAGCAGAACTGTGCAAGTGTCTAGCCAATGAACATTATGGCTATCCTCAGATAGGTTTATGATAATAAAATGATTTTTCACTGAGAATAACAGTAGTGGTAGAATCAGACAGAAAGAAAACATTAGTCATATATTTGGTTGCATTCATTTCTGACATTTTATTGAAATGGTGAAATTAGCCTGCTAGACATCCTCTCTTCAGATTCAGGACATTTCATTCTCTGGCACTTGCTGTGATAAATTTTGGCAAATAATGGCAAATCAGGTGAGTTTCAACACTATCGAACGCTTGTTTAAATTATGTTCATGAAAAATTCTCTGAAATCTCAAGAATTGTTCTGTAGCTTTATAATTTTCCATATTTTATACTAACGTTTGCTTCTTGTTGATGCTATATTTCAAATGCTCTTCAGAAATTTCAGAGAAGTTTGCTTTTACGTGTTTGCTTAAAATGTTTTGCATTTAATTAGTACTTGGAAGGGACTGTTTGCTGTCTCCTCATATCTATTCTTCCCTCTTCTAGGAAGAGAATCCCCAAGTTTGAGCTGGGCACACAAATACAACGTCCTGGGTTTGTCTGCAAGGGACAGGTGTGCCATACACTTTCATTTTTTCTCTCCCACCAGGTGACGTGCAGAAAAGGTGGTGAACCAGTGGAAAAGAGACACAAAGAGGTGGCAGATGGAAGGAACTTCAGGTCCTGACACTGTGAGACTTGATCCTGGCCAGAGACCAATTCCTCTACTTATATGAAAGAATAAACTTCATCCTTCTCAAGCCACTCTATTGGGGGTTTCTTGTTACAGAACCCTTTTTTTGTCCTTAAAATTATCGGTAGAGATGGAAGCTGATTTTTAACTGAGAACCAGTTTTATTAGAACACAAGCCCCTAGTAGGTAAGGGATCAGTAGAATTTTTTACTTTACAATAGAGAAGAAATGGAAGAAAACTGAGTTGCTACATTCATACATGCATTCTAAAATTTGCTCATTAAACAAATGTAATTTGATATAAAAAATATCAGGTGTCTTGCCATGAGTTGCAATGTAGAGGTGAATAAGAGATAGTCACTGTCCTTAGGCATATTATTCTCTAGTTGAGAGGACACACAAATTGTCAAGTATTAACTCATTCTTTCATTCACTTGTTCACTCATCCAAATGGCAATGTGGGCACACTGCATTATGGGAGTATGGAGTAAACGTAGCCTAATTCACTCCGGTGGGTGAAAAGGGTCTTGTTTTAGGATATAGTGCCAGGAGTGAATTTTGGAATATGAGAAAGAATTAGTCAGGAAGGAATATGAGGCAGAAGCAAAGAGCATTTGGCAGAGGAAGCATGGCCATTTGCATTCCTTTGGGGTTTGGTCTAGTTGGTCTGTATAGATTGTGTCTATAAGCAAAAACAGTCAGAAATGAAGCTATTAAAGTCAATAAATGGAGATTATGAATGACTAACTATGCCATTTTAGAGAATCTGGTTCTAACTACTGAAGGTTTTTATCTAGACAGTCACAAGTTCACAAGTTCATAATTGGTGAAGAAAGTAAGATAAGAACTGAAAAGTCTCTATTACACCAAGAGATTAAGTATAATGTGCGCGGATGGGGAGGATGGCGGGGGTAAGCAGGAGGGCATCACAAAACCAGATTGCCATGGGCTATTAGTTGAGGAGTAGATGGGCACAAAAATGAAGATGAGAATAGACTCCCATTTCAGGACACTTGGCTGTGGAGAAAGGAGGGAGGAACTGGTAACTGAGGGAGACCATTTATGGGGTAGAAATCAGCGTAAGGTCTCAAATTTGCCTGTTTGGGCAGCACAACCCACTTGTGCCATTCAGTCTTTCACTGAAATAAACTTGGTATTCTCATCAGAGGATGGATTCTGTAACACAGCTTGGGTCTGCTGTTATGAATATGTTTTACACAGAACATCCAGTCAAAAACTGCAAACCTTTCCTTGCAATTATGTATTACGGCTTGCCTTGGTATTACAAGGAATTGCTTCCATACTGGCAGACAAGCCTCTAGAATGGTGCTACTGGAATATAGTAATAATCCAGGAGGTTATTGAGATTCATATGACCTGGCTTGACCCTTCACTGCCGAGTTGTGCTATTGTAATGTGTTTCTAGCACAGCACAGCAGCTGGACACTTAGGAGACAACAAATCTGAGTAGCTACTTCCTTTTGACTCCTCTTTTCCCCTACTCTCCTCAGCTGTCAGTAAACTATGGCCTACAAGTGAAATCCAGCCTACAGCCTGTTTTGGTAATGGTCCTAAGCTAAGAAAGGTTTTTACATTTTCAAAAGACTGGAACAGCAACAACAAAAATATGCCTCAGAGATTTCTGTGGCCCTCGAAGTCTGAAATATTTACTATCTGGTCATTTGCAAAAAGAACTCTATCAACTCATGCCCTAGAAAATGGTATAGAGTTATCCTACTCCTTTTGACTTCTGCCTTTTCCTTTAACCATCTCTGTCCTCTGCTTTTAAGAGGACTTATTGCTTAATAGTCTCCATTTCTAATCCCTGTCACTTTATTGACTGCTATTCAATTCTTGTCTTTCCTATATCACTTGCCTTCCATCTCCTTTCCCTGTTGTGTCTTCTGACATTCTTGACCTCAATATACAGGAGCTTGGCCTTTAATAACTGATACAAAAATGTATTTCTTGCTAGGTGACTAATTACAAAGTGTCATATATGTAATCTTCAAGTATTCATCTTAATTTTTGCTGCTTCTTCCGGTCAAAAGAACAACAAACAAAAGAAAGCTAAAATGGTTTTCCCCTTATTTCATGCCCTCCTTCTTTACCCAGCTACCTTCCTGCATTCCTTTTTCTTAATTTCATTCTTTTTCTCTTTGACTTTCATGATCCTAATGAGCTCTAGTCCACACACTTGTTACTGATTATCTCACCTCCAGGTAATTGAAGCAATCCTCAGTTTTTTTCTGCTTGAGATTCTTTCCTCGTTTAAAATTTCAAATGTAGTCATATACACATCTTAGAGTTTTCTAAATTATGTTTCACTTTAAAGATGAAATGGAGCTACAAAAAAAGTGAACTGGACATTTTCCAACATGAGTTTTCTGTTCTTTTCAGATAGTAGTCTTGGTCACTGCCATTGATCAATATAAAAATGACCTACCTCAACAGTTTCCCACTTTTCCCCTCATTATGTCCATGAAAATGATGCAACGCTCTTAAACTTTTCCTCATTTTACAACATTGACCCTCTACAACACAATGTAATTTACAGACCCATGAGGAGTGAAGTGTGGATATAACAAGGTCTCCAATTTCTCTCTGATATTATCACCAAGTCATCCTCACATTCCAAATATTTCTTTTCAAAATCTTCAAAGCTATCTACTCCAACTTTTTTCTTTTTGCTTATTTACACTCAAAAAAATATGTGTGCTTTCCTCAGATCTTTCCATTATTAAAATCTTGTATAAACGGCAGGGCAACGTGGTCCTAAAAAGCCCAACACTATAAGCATTATGAAAAAAAGTTTGTTGTACAATGTTCTAACATCCAATTATCCATAGACAAAGAGCAGTTCTCTCATTATTGATGTAATGTAGACTACACTCTGGTCATGCACAAACAAGAACTTCAAGCCTGAATGGCAACAATATTTCTATGTAATGAATCTGTTTACACACACCAAATTTAAATGTCTTCGGTTTTTTACTGGTATCATTTATAGACTAAATCAAACCCTAAGGATGTAATCAAATTAAAAGGATTAGTGCTCATTAATAAGCTGGCAGTAATATTTCATCAAAAGTTTACTAAGTCTCTCTCTGCAAAACCAGTAGATAAACGCAGGCAGTGCATAAAAGTGTCTGTCTACTGCATTAAAACATGACGAAAATAATATTTCTTAACATTGCCAAAGAACCATCTATTTCTGAAGATCATACCAGTTCCCATTGCATAGGCCAGTAAGGGTCATTAAACACCAATGGGTCTCTGAGTCCTTCTTCAGAGTCAATGACATTGTAGACTTCACTCGGGATCTCATTTTCCTTCACACAAGGTCTGCAGGGCAAAGAAGGCAAATGAACTATGAAAAACATAATCACTGCTTTTACTGTTGCTTTTTTTGTCATAAAAATTCCATTTATTTAAATTCCATTAAAAAGCACATTTGGCTGCCGAGAGCATAAATATACACTTTTATTATACTTAGCATTTTTCATTTTCAAAAAAAATTCTGACATTTGTTTAGATAAAAATGTTAAAATATTTTCAAACTACCTGTTTTAGCTAACCACTTTCTACGTGTTTGATGCAGACAATAAATGCTGGAAAAACAAGCAATTTGGAATACAATTCAAAAGCTTTGTATATATTTCCCATTAGAAGTTATCAGCTTACACTGATCATTATCCTTACTATGTTATGTGCCTGCCACTATGACTTCCCCCAAAATATATCTCTTAGGAGAGTGATTTAAATTACTTGAGCTGTAGTGGACAACATTTTTTAAAACACTCATTTCTCTAATTGCTCTGATGTATTTAATAAATCATTAACCAAGCAAGTGACAGTACTAGAAATTCAGGAAGGCTTTTTAACACAATGTTCTCCCAAAGACAGAACTATAACTCAGTCATTCACATCTGCCTGTGCACCTTGGAAGATTACCAAAAGCAAATATTGGGAGAAATAATCAAGCAATGACATTAACAATACTTCTGTCTTAGAAATAAATTTAAATTTAGTAAAATGATAGATGAAATTAAACTACCAAATATCAGAGTCATTCTTATTTATAAATATATAGAAGATTAAGCTAAAATTATAAATATATTAAGAATAGAAATTATGTCTAATTTCAATATAGTCCCAGACCTGTACACATTACGTGTTTAGGAATTATTTGCCCATTTACTTCCAGAGTATCAAAATGGAATAGGCAAGTAGCAGTATTTATATAAGAAAATATGTTCAGGAAGTTTCTCTATAAGCAACATTTGCAAAAGTGAAAAGCTGGAAACAACTTAAATGTCCATCAGTGTGTAATTGTTTAAAACTCATGTTATAATCACACACCAAAATATTACTCAGCAGTAAAAACAAATAAACTTGATCTACAAGTGTCAGCTGGATCCATTTAAATCAATCTCAAAAACTTTAAGGAGAGGGCGGAGGGCCATGTACATGATGTTATCATTTAAATAAGGTTTTAAATCATCCAAAAACAAGTTTATAAATTATTCTTCAATGAAATAGCTGTAGTTTACGAATCTAAACATACATAGAAGACTCCTCTGAAGAAGGCGAGGAGGGGAATAGTTTTAGGCAGGAGTACACAGAAGAATTCAACTCCAGTGATTTATTCCTTTACAAAACCTAGAGCAATTATGACGAAATGATCACATTAACAAATACAGACGGTGTGACATATTATACACTATATTGGTGTGTATATTTTTATGTATATTTGGAGTATGTTGTAATGACAAAACACACACACAAACAAAATTAGTGGAGCCTAGTTGTTATATCAATGAGCCAAAAATGGCTCTGTACATTGGCCCGATGTTATTTACTTCTTTACAGCAGGCTGAGACCTATTAGCTCCAAAGCTCAAGGGCACCAAAATACTCGAATTTTTACATCCAGTTGTTTTAAATGTACCCTGAATAAGCAGAATTTTAGCCATTGAGAGTCTCCTTGCTTTGCATACCCAACAAAACTGCACCCAATATCTGCTACCCATACGTAAAATAAACTCTGTACCTGTAGAAGACCCCAAGCTGCTGCTTGCCCTTCAGAGCTCTCTGAACCAGAGACCTTCCATTGTGCTGCTGAGTGACATTATCGAGACTCATAAAACCCTCTCCAATGTTCCTCCTTCCCAGCACTTCCACTTGCCCTCCTCCCCTTCTGGGTAGCGGCTCCCCACTCATTGCCCCTGGAAGGTCTCTTGTTGTGAGGGACCTTCCCCCCAGTGCAAACCTGCCAAAGCACCACCCAAATAAAACTCACTGTGTGCTACTGCCACCTCATGCTCATATCTGTTTCCTTGATCAATCCCCAAATTCCTCGAACTCGATACACCAGTGAAAAGAATCGGAAAAGATATCAGAATAGAGGTCAGAAGAACTGAACTCTAGATTCTGTTCTCCTCTTTGGCTCTTCCAGTGACCAGAAGAGTTCAAATAACATTAATCTAGCTAAACATCTCTAGTCTTTTGTCAAGAAGAGGATCATCATTTCTCCAGGAATGCCTGTTAGCTGTGAGTTTTCAGAAACATTCGGATGGCTATGAAAGGACTGATAGCTCATCCATGAATGCAGCATGGTGCTCACAGAGGCACCTGGACACTCCGAGCCTGCCCCGCTTGCACTGAAGCCCTCCTCTCTCTACCACTGCAATAACCACAATTCCTGTCAAGCGTCAAAGGCACAGGATTTGAAACCTATGAAATGAAAAATTTAAGTAGGAGAGGAGAAAAGACAGCTTTATTAAAGTTAAGAATTTAATTTAAAAATACCAAAACAATGACATAAGTGGAATGAAAGAAAGCATAAACAATAAAGTAATAAAAATCAGTGAAACAAGTTATTAATTGTAAAAATGAGGAATTACAAGTACTTAAGCATAGAAAAATGTCTATCATGGTCTTATTGTTTATTTCGCTCATATGTTCATATAATCATGAACATTTATGGAAGAATACTTAAGAAAATGTAAAAATGCGACAAGGATCATGAAAATTTCCTTATGACCTTCTGTACAATTTGAAATTTTTTTACCAAGTGCATGTAAGACATTTATGTTAAAAAAATAAATTTAAAGACAGAACAAGTACCAAAATCTCCCAGATTTTCAATAGAATTTGGGAATCTGGACTTTTAGCAAAATTTCCAGTTTTAAAAAACTTCTTTAGGGGCCGGCCCAGTGGTGTAGTGGTTAAGTTTGCATGCTCCACTTCAGCGGCCCAAGGTCCACCAGTTTGGATCCCAGGCGGGAGCCTACGTACACATCGAACATCAAGCCATGCTGTGGTAGGCATCCCACATATAAAGTGGAGGAAGATGGGCAGGGATGCTAGCACAGGGCCAATCTTCCTCAGCAAAAAGAGGAGGATGGGCAGCGCATGTTAGCTCAGGGCTAATCTTCCTCAAAAAAAAGGCTATTTTAATCCAATAGAATGTCAGCAGGCTATACTTGTTCTAATGTCACAAATTTTGACCTCTGTTCTATAGTATTCTCAAAATTCTACTATATATCATTGGAATTCAGAAATGAGAAATCCTACATCTTGAGACAATAAATGATAAGAATAAAATAGGTCACTTCCTTACAAGAGTTGATGTAAGTTAACACCACAAAGCATTGAATCTGAAAACCCCCTTGTTTTATTTAACTCAAAATAAAGGGAGTATTTTTCCAGACAATTATATTTCAATGTAAATACTTATATCTTCATTTTTATATCCCATACAGCTACTCTCTCAAGACTAGCATTGAAAGAATATCTAAATATTTTGTGAATCTAAACTGCTTAGCCTTTCAAAATACTTTTCTCCATACTTATATTTTAGTGCACTTGCTAAGTTGCAATATTTTCATATTCCTCTCCATAACTGATTCCTGAACACACTGACCTGCACTAAGTCTATGTGGGTGACATTGGGATGCAATGAACAACAGGTGCCTTCCCCATCTCGCATGTCCCTGAAGAGCACCTGCTGTCTTCAGAAATAATTTAAGTGACCCAGGCTTGCAGCATCCCATTGCAATGATTATCCCATCGCAACTGAAGAAAATTGTGTGAAAGCTACATCTCTGTTGGATTCAAATTCGTAGAACTGCATAGCTGAGATTCAGAGCCCTAAATAGGATGTCATATAGGAAAATGCCAAACTGGCTCCAAGGGATGATTCCTTTTCAACTTTTGAAAATAGTAATGTTAACCATGGCGTCATTATCTACTATCCTTCTGCTAGGTGTTTTATAGAAAAGCTATATTTTGGAAAGTGGTATACTACCACACAATCCTACCAGCTTTCTTTAATCATACATGCATACACACAGCTATTTAACAACTAAATGAAGACAAAAAGAAATTTTAAATAACTTAGCACATATATTCTTTCTATTCCCTAATATTTCTTTTACTTTTTTTTTTTAGGAAAGTAAATGTGACAGAACGGAAAAAAAAATTTGCCCCAGGGGCTATCTTTGAGGCGGCCGTGGGGAATAGTCTGCTACAGAGAATGAAGCCACCACCAGGACACAGTGAGAGGTTTGGGAGCCTCACCCAGAACAAGGTGGTAAGGCCTGCAGACTAACCTCAATTCAGACAGTTTTCAGGCATATAATAGCTGCATAGTTAGCAGCCACTCCGCTGACTCACCTGAGCCCTATTCCCAATTTCCCTTCTATGCCAGTCTCACAGCATGGTGTAGAAAACATTTTATCTTTGAAGAAACACCAACTTACTAACTATCCACCTGACAGTGTATACAGATTTGCATCCAAGCAGGAATTCCTACCACAGGAAGTTGTTAAGATTTTTAATAATTTAAAGCAATAATGCAAATATTCTTCACCATGAAAGAAAATAAAAATCATTTAAACTAATAAATATTTTTATTCTTTCTCATTATTATATACTGCAAAAACAAACAGCTTGTGTATTCCTTTACAAATTTGCAAATTCAAAAATAAATAAATTATTTATTTATAAATAAATAAATAACTTAGACTTTGTGGGCCTCTATAGTCTCTATCACAACTATTTAACTCTGTCATAGTAACAAGAAAGCAGCTATAGACACTACAAAAACAAATGGCATAAACTCCAGGAAAACATTATTTACAAAAATAAGTGCAGGCAGCATTTGGCCTCTGGCCTTCGGGCCCTAGTTTGTCGACCCCAGTGCTGGTCTATAGCATGCTTTTACCAATGGCGCAGCTTAAAACTATCAAAATGAACATCTATACATGAGTATAAAGAAAAAATTACTACTGAGATATATGCGCAAATCACTCTTAAATTAGGGCATTAAATACCAGAGGA